GAGTGCATGGAGGGATGGACACAGGGAAGAGGTAACTATGGGGAGGAAGTGGGAGGGAAGCTGTTGCATTGGGGTAAATTGTAGTCAATGTCATGAAACAAAGTGTATGTGAACTGTATGGAAAGTGAAATGAAAAGTAAAGAAATAAGAAATGCATGAGATTGTGAGGTTTAGGGGACAAGACCACCTGAGGGAGTGGGTCAAACTATAAAGGGAGAGAGAGAAAGAGAGAGATACCAGGTTCTCCAGTTGTCCAACGTCCTATTTTGAAACACTCTGACTTTTGTTAGAATTTGGATTGGCTTCTCTGTGGATAAGAAGAATATCATTTTACCAAGCATCATGTGTAATCCCAGTCACATTGTTAATAGAGCAGCCCTTTAATGTTACAGAATCTTTTCTTTTTTTTTAAACCAGGCAATCTTCATGATTCCTACAAATCCTCCTCCCACATTCCGAAAGCCAGAACTGTGGTCAGATCACTTCATGGATTTTGTGAAGCAGTGTCTTGTAAAGAGCCCTGATCAGAGAGCCACAGCCACTCAGCTCCTGCAGGTATGATCCCTCGACACGCTGCCTCTCTCCATGTGATGGAAAGACACTATTAAGCCAACTACTTAGAGATAGCAAAGATGTATAATATATTTGCATTTTGTAGGTTGGAATTAAATTGCATCAAAAAGACGTTGAAAGGAATGTTAAGTTATTGAACAAGAAACCATTGCAAGAAAATACAAGAGTGTGTGGGATTCAAGAAAGGGAATTGACATTTAGTGAGCACCTACTGTGTGCAGTTGCTGTGAATATGTTATGCTGTTTAATCATCAAATAAGCTGTATAAGGAATTGGTATTATTTCAGTCCTACAGGTGAAGAAATGGGAGGTTAGCTCTTAGAGTCTCTCAGCTGGTAAACATCAGAACCAAGATTAGAGCCTAGGTCTTTCTGACTCCAACACAGGAGTGCCATCAAGTCTACCTAACTCCAAAAAAGAGTTGAGATAAGTGATAGGTGCTGTTGTAGCTGAGGACAAGGGGAGACCACTCTTGGATTGAGGCAGTAGGCATGCTTTCCTGAGGAGGTAGTTTCTGCACCTGGGCCTGGAGTAATGCATTGGATTTGCCTGGCAGTATACTTAGTGGATAGGAGCTTGGATTCTAGAGTCAGATTTGAATTTTGGTTCCCTATTTATTGTCAGGTTTTCTGATCTTGGACAGGTAACTTCACCTCTTTGTATATTAGTTTTTTATCTATAAAATGGGTATAAAGGACTATAATACACATAACTTTGAATAGTGTTTTAAATGTATTACAGATAGTATGGTGTAGACTTAACAAATAGCTACTATTATTATTATGCAAGGCCAGTGATTTTCAACCATATCAGACCCAATGCCTCCTTTTTATAATCAATATATATATATTTTAACACCGTTACTCTTCTAGCGTGAAACCCATAGATAATAAAACCTATTATGCTTATAATTTTAAAAATTCCACATAATATCATACCTGTGATACAAAGGAGAAATATAAAGACAATACTTTATAATAATACATATAATAATACATTGGAAATGCTCCAATGTGACTCAATGTGAAGACATAATGAAGTAGTTAGATACCTAGCATCATGAATGACTTTAGATTTAAGAGCAGTAAGAAGATCAGCAACCATTCCATTCAAGAAATACAGGAAAATGAAGGAGGTTTGGGTGGACCCTAGAATAAAAACTGACATCACTAATAATTGACCAAACTCTTTTGTATATGAGAGTAAGAGGGAAATGATCTTACAAATTATTGAAGTGAAGAGAACAAGAAGTGAGATATTCTTGCAAACGGGCTGCATCTTATTTCTGAGTGTCATCCCCAGTTCTTACCCTGCCTGCATGGGGTAGTGATGAGGTTTAATGGAAGATACATCTCTTTGGAAATCCTAGCAAATTTTGAGACATACTTTCTGTCTTTGAAGTACTTACAAAAGCCATGGGGACTGACCCCTTTAACAGATGATGGGGAATAGAAGGTTGACCACAAAGAGAAACACTGTAGAGAAGATCAGAATAAGTTGGAAAACAGCAGGCAACCAACCTCAAAGGGAATTTCCACATGCAACTTTGATAGCATAGTTTTTTTTTTAGTCATTGTACTACCAATAATGACAATAAACATGTAAGATGGTATTAATATTAAAAATTTTAAGATGTTTTTTATAAATGAAATTCAGTGATAACCTTACGTTTCCAGTGTCCTGCCTGATAGAGTAATGTTTGGGTCCAATTCTGTTTTATATTTGTGATCAGGTTTAGTATTTTCTGCAGTAAATGCCCTTGTGCATTAAATTTTTCTTTTCTGCCTAACTATGTAGTTGGAAATGCTCTCATACACTGAATAGAAAGAATAAATGGAATGAATGACTTAGTCTGTTATTTCTAACCAATGTCTTTCATTCCATTTAAATCTCACTCCAATCCAAAATGACTTCCCAAGTTACTGGGCTTTTTGCATCTCTCTTGAAGAAACCGTTTGGTTCATTTACTACAGCATGCATACACTCTGAGACATTTGGAAGCTGTGCAGAATGTGACCCAGTTAGTTATCTCGTGTGAATTGTCCCACACGTTGCAGGATTGCAGGTGTAGCTGCCTCCCCTTCTGTGCCGCATGTGCTCTCCAAGCCTTGGGACAGCTGTAACAAGCACCCACACATTCACACAGCGTCCTCTAGGGGGTGGTGAAACCCTGCTGAGATCTCGAGATTTGGCACCGAGAAATGAAATAGTCATGTCAGCCAGGCAGTAAAACAATGAGCAGAGCTTGAGTGTGCTTCTATTCAGAGTTCTACGGTGAGCGTGCTTTTGCTGTTGTCCGAAGAATAAAGGGAAGAATGAAATTAATTGATTCAACAGATATTTAGGTGTCTGTGTGCCAGACACTGTTTTGGCACTGATGCCATACAAAGCACTGATGCCATACAGAGAGTCTCAGGAGTTTTCCACTTTCTTGTTTAAGCACCCATTTGTCAAGAGTGCCAAAGGAGTGTCGATACTGCGGGACTTAATTAATGAAGCCATGGACGTGAAACTGAAACGCCAGGAGGCCCAGCAGCGGGAGGTGGACCAGGACGATGAGGAGAACTCAGTGAGTGACAGGCATTGCTGTGGGTTTGGGGCTTCCGTGCTTGTTATTTCATGATTGCAAAGCCAGGTAAGATGAGTAGGAGATGGTAGATCAGCCTGGAACTTTTCTCATGTGCCTGTGTCCTGTCCTGGATCAAGGCTTGCTCGAGGCATTAGATCTCCTCATGATACGTCTGTAACTGCTCTCCTTCCAGGGCTTTCTGGGGCATTTTAAAATTTTACTCTCTTGTCCCCGTGTCTTATATAGTCAAATAACTTTGTATTCAGGAGAGAGAAAGCTCAGCTCTGAGACTTGGTTCTTCCATACCCTATTGGGGCATCTACAATCCGTACAAACATGTAGCTTTTGCCAGAAGAGTCTGCCTCACAAGCCCGAGATTCCAGGCGTGCTTACCTCGGCTTCTTAGGTCCACGTTGTAGGTCTCCACTGAGAAGGGAGGAAGGGAGAGAGAGAGGAAGAGAGAGAAGGTCCCTCTGGGGCTGGGTGTACTGTTCTGACATGGGTAATTTGTGATCGATTTCATGAGTAAGTGTCCAATCCAGAAATAAATGCACCAAGATAAGTAAAAGTCATTCAGAAATTTCAAAATCTTTTGATCAAATTAGCCCCAATTTTAAATTGTCTTTTACAGGAGGAAGATGAAATGGATTCTGGCACGATGGTTCGAGCAGTAGGTGATGACATGGGGACTGTCCGAGTTGCCAGCACCATGAGCGATGGAGCCAATACCATGATCGAACATGATGACACATTGCCATCACAGCTGGGCACCATGGTGATCAATACGGAGGATGAGGAAGAGGAAGGAACTATGAAAAGTAAGACTCGGACTAAATGCACCAACTTCTCAGACAAACGTACGTGTTGGAGGAGATAGGTCCTCCTGGTCCATGCAGTCTCAGCCATGAGCCCCCTCTTATGCTGCCACCAGCAGAGGTTCTGGTGGGCTTGGGAGAGCTGCAGAGGGGTCCACTGGCCTACTTTTGAACCATTGACCATTTTCTCCTTGACCCTGGAGGTAAGCACGTACATTGTTTGAGGTATAAATTCATTCGCAAAGTCTAATGAAATTCTGAGCCATTTCTTCAGTGTATTTTTGTGACACTTTGTGTTTCAAACTCAGGTTTACCAACACTTAAGCCATTTCAAAATGACTAGATAAGTTTTAAACATCAAGCATCAAGCCCCTTCTTCTGTTGGGATCCTATCTTAGCTTCTTTTCATCTGTCCTAGTTTTTTTTCCCCTGTGACTGAAGTTCAATACCTCATCTTCTGTTTTCCCTGCTCCAATTCTGGGTTCACCCATGTTTCCAAGGAGTTCTGATACGTTTTTGTTGAATGGTATTTAGAAACCAAGATCATTGTTTCCAGGTTCTCTCAGTGGACAGAGCTAGGAAATAGAGATAGATATAGAGAAATCCACACATACACACACATCTGTATTTATTTTTGGATCTATCCATCTGCGTATGTGTGTACGTATATATGTATACATGTATGCATAAGTATATGTGTATATACGTATACATATATATGTTTGTATAACGTACGTGTATATATATATATATACACACATATATATTTATGTATGTATATAGAGTGTAAAATATATATACATATATATGTGGTGGTGTAGTGCCTAAGGCATTTGACAGCTAACCAGAAGGCTGGCGGTTCAAACCCACCAGTCACTTCTCAGAAGGAAGATTGGGCAACCTGCTTCCATAGAGATAAGGCCTCGGAAACCCAAGGAGGAGTCACTATGGGTTGGAAATGACTTGACAGCAGTGAGTTTTGGTATATGTGTATATATAAAATCAGCGCCAAAAGTATCATATTGGACTCATTTTTTTGAATATATGTATGAAACCATGAGTCCATTATGATACCTTTGTTCCTGATTCAGTACCATAGGGTTGATTCTAGCCTTCTCCTCTTTCTTCCTTTGTAACTTGTAACTTCTCTCTCCCTATAGTGAGGACTCCCATTTTCTGCACTATACCTTGGTTAAAGCATTTGGCTGATAACCAGAAGGTCGGTGGTTTGAATATACCAGCTACTCTATGGGAGAAAGAAGAGGCAGTCTGCTTCTGTAAAGATTCATAGCCTTGGAAGCCCTGTGGAGCAGTTCTACTCTGTCCTATAGGGTCCCTGTGAGTCTGAATCAGCTCTGTGGCAGTGGGTTTTAGTATGCAGGTGATGTATTTTCACTATTGCTAGTCTGTACTCCGATGAGAAGGAAGTTTACCGGCTAGAGTGTGGTATTTATGTCTAGTTCTTTTTGTCTTTAGCCTTCAGTATTTAGCCCAAGCACTGTTTCCAAAGTTAATTGGGCCGGCTGCTTCCTTCCTCACCCCATTAGTGTACTTAGGTGAATTCATCTGTAATATAAGAGATTCCTTGTCACGGTCTACCTGCCACCTTACGATCATTGGTGGCAGGGTTACGTTGTTGGTGGGTGCGTGGCTCGGACTCACGGTGACCCCATGTGTGATGGAACGGGTGCGTGGCTCGGACTCACGGTGACCCCGTGTGTGATGGAACGGGTGCGTGGCTCGGACTCACGGTGACCCCGTGT